ACACCTGGGGTTGGGGCCACAGATGCGGGTGTTCCGCTTCAAATTCACCCTTTTGCAAAGCAAATTCACCCTTTTGCAAAGCAAACTAGATTTGCCAAAGGGTAGGTTTGGCGTGGAAAACCTGTATATGCTGACGGGCCAGCTCTCGCCACCTGTGAGTGCTCCCCTGCCCTGTGCTGGGCCCTGGAGTCCCACGACCAGGGTGGACAAGCCAGAAACAGTGCCTGTCCTCCCCTCCCTCCCCCAGGGTGGGCGGAGTCATAAGTTGAGTGACAGCAGGAAGGCAGGTGGGCTGGATCCAGGTTATCTGAGGGGAGGCGCCCACGCTCAGAGGAGGCTGTTCCCACGCTTCAGGCTTTGGCTCCCTGGGCCTGATGACATCCGTGCTGGTCTGCCCCGACGGAAAGACCATCGAGGCTGAGGCTGCTCACGGGACAGTCACGCGCCACTATCGGGAGCACCAGAAGGTAAGCGTGGGGAGTGTGCCACACGGGCTGGGAGGACGGGCCTGGCCCTGTCAGTCAAGGTTGCCTCCTTGGTTGGCTTTTTGGCTCTTAATTCCCCTGTGCCCGCTGCCCCCAGGGCCGGCCAACCAGCACCAACCCCATCGCCAGCATCTTCGCCTGGACGCGGGGCCTGGAGCACCGGGGGAAGCTGGACGGGAACCAGGACCTCATCAGGTGAGCCCGGAAGAGGAAGAGGGGCTGTGCCGGCCCCAGGGCAGGCTCTGGGCCGGATGCTGCCCAGCCCAAGGCTCACTCTGCCCGCCCCCCTGCAGGTTTTCCCAGACCCTGGAGAAGGTGTGCGTGCAGACAGTGGAGAGCGGAGCCATGACCAAGGACCTGGCCGGCTGCATCCACGGGCTCAGCAAGTGCGTGGCCGGGGCGGAGGGCAGGGCTGGCCTTCCGGGGCCTCGGGGGCCAGTGGGCAGAAGCTGGGGGACCCTTCTTAGAGGCCCCCATTTTTTTTAATTGATTTCAGAGAGGAAGGGAGAGGGAGAGAGAGAGAGAGAGAGAAACATCAATGATGAGAGAGAATCATGGATCGGCTGCCTCCTGCACACCCCCTACTGAGGATCGAGCCCACAACCCCGGCATGTGCCCTGACCGGGAATCGAACCTGGGACCCTCCAGTCCACAGGCTGACGCTCTATCCATTGAGCCACACTGGCTAAGGCGAGGCCCTGGGCTTCGGTCAGCTTCGCCACCAGGAGCCTGGGGGCAGGACAGGTCCACAGCCCCGAGGGAGGGCTCGGGCCAAGCTTCCCAGACCAGGCCCCCTGATTGGTCCCCATCCACCTGCATCGGTACCCATCTCCCAGCTTCTCCCAGGGGCCCTTGTACCCACCGGCCCATTCACCTGCCAGAGAACAGGCAGACCTTCCCAGGCTCCCGCTGACTTGGCCGTGGCCCCTTGGCAGCGGGCGGCGGGGGACCTGTGACCCGCAGGTGGCCTGGCCACGTCCCTCCCCACCGGGGCTGCCATCAAGACCCCCACACTCCGGCTCTGCCCCTCACGCGGGTGGTGTTCTCTCGGCAGCGTGAAGCTGAACGAACACTTCCTGAACACCTCGGACTTCCTGGACACCATCAAGAACAACCTGGACAAAGCCCTGGGGCAGAAGTAGGGGCGGCGGACTCGCGGAGGGTGAGCCTCAGCCCTCTCAGGAGGCCTTTCTAGGGGACGTTTTTTATAAGCGACATGTTTTTCCAAGTCTCTGCGCTGCCCCTCGCGGAGGTGACGTGAGGCAGGAGCGGTGTGTTTTACCTCAGCCCGTCAGTATGTCCCGCATACTGTAATTTATCTCGCCTTGGAACACATGGTGCCATATTTAGCTACTAAAACCTCTTCACAAAGCTGTCTGCTGTGTTTGTCCCTCAGGGAGGAGGCAGCTGGGGCCTGGAGGCCGGGGGCTCCACGGGGACAGGACGTCTGTCCCAGGCTCCATCCAGTCCTGGGCCCCGTGGCGGGAGGGGACCGAGCAGGATGCTATGGGGGGCCCCCCCGAGTAGCCGCTGGGACTCTGGGGGCGCAGGTCCCTGGAATTTCCTAGCGTGGTTCCTGTATCGTTTGGGGGTTATCACTTCTCCATAGATTCAGGTTGTATTTTTCCTTTTCTTTCTGGTTTTCACCTTCTAAACATCTCCAGAGCCCTTTCCCTTTTCTTGGTACTGAAAACAGGCCCCCCCCTGCCCCCCGCTTGGCAGCCGCCTCTGGTTCTCCACTCACAGCTGCTGGGGGGCCCCCGTGGGGTCTGGGACGCTGAGCCCCAGACTTGAGATCATCTCCTCCATTCTTTTTCTTTGTTTCTGTTTTGTATGTATATTTTTATTGATTTCAGAAAAAGAGAGAGAGAGAGAGAGAGAGAGAGAGAGGCATCTATGATGAGAGAGAATCATTGACCACCTGCCTCCTGCACACCCCCTACTGGGGATCAAGCCCGCAATCCCGGCATTTGCCCTGACCTGGAATCGAGCCGTCACCTCCTCCTGGTTCCTGGGTCGATGCTTAAACACTGAGCCACGCCGGCCGGGTCACTTCCTCCCTCCTTTAGCAAAACTAGAAGAGTAAGGTGAGCGCATCTCTATAAAGTGAAATAGATCCAATTTATAGGGCTGTCCTTCTAGGACACTTTTCGTGTTAAAATGTCCTGGGGAAGAGTTGTCCCATATTCACTTGATGAACAAATAGTTGGCAACCCCAAGTCCATTTCCCACATGTTGGGGGGACTCTCAGAGCTCCCGAAACCCAACAGTCGGGAACCTCGGTAGCTTTGAGATGGGCTGTAGCCACACACACACACACACACACACACACACACACACACACACACTGCGTCCCCTTCTGTCCCAAGGGCCGCCCTGGGCTCCCAGGTCCCTGGGAAGAAAGGCCGGCGTGCTCACCCTGCTGGGCCCAGCTCCTGGGGGGAAGCTCGGGGTTTCCGGCCCCTCGTGCCCATCAGTAGCACAGGGCTGGCGGCTCCCCAGAATGCACAGCCTCGGAAGCCCAGCTTGGCATGGTGAGCTGGCTTCTGCCCCGGGCCCTGCGGGTGGGCAAGGAGGGGAAGTGCTTTTCTCTGCCAGTGGTGGGAATTCAGGGGCCTTGGTCCGCGCCCCCTCGCTTGGGCTCGGAGCAGCTCCCTGGGGGCGCCTGGCTCTGCCGGGGGTTCACTCTGGTGGGTGCGGAGGATGGTGTGGGGTCTCCTCCGGTCCCCAGAGAGTGATGCCCTGCTGGGTAGGGCTGCAAAGCTTTTCTTTTTAAATATATTGTATTGGTTTTTTTTTACAGAGAAGAAGGGAGAGAGAGAGAGAGTCAGAAACATCGATGAGAGAGAAACATCGATCAGCTGCCTCCTGCACACCCCCCACTGGGCACGTGCCCGCAACCAAGGTACATGCCCTCGACCGGAATCGAACCCAGGACCCTTTAGTCCACAGGCTGACGCTCTATCCACTGAGCCAAACCGGTCAGGGCAAAGCTTTTCTTTTTTTAAAAAACTATATATATTTACTGATTTCAGGGAGGAAGGGAAAGGGAGAGACAGAAACATCAATGAGAGAGAATCATTGCTCGGCTGCCTCCTGCACGCCCCCGACTGGGTTATCGAGCCCACAACCCCTGACCAGAATTGAACCTTGACCTTCTGGTTCATATGTTGAGGCTCAACCACGGAGTCACACCAGCTGGGGGGGTGGCTGCAAAGCTTTGTTAGGGGTTCCTCCCGGGGGAGGGGGGAGGCCCAGGTCCCCGAGAACCGCGAGAAGAAGCACCCGCAGTCGCCTCGCTAAAGAATATTCATTTATTTATAATTATTGCTAAGTAAACTTCTCTTTTAAACAGGAACATAAAAACACAGTAGGGCTTTGCACAAGTGGGGTTTCTAAACAGTTGGTCTGTATACACGTCAAAATAAGTTAGAATGGAATTCATCCAGGAGTTTCCAAGTCACCCGAGAGGCCTCACACCTCCTTTGCTAAGGTTGGGGGCGAGGGGGGAGGACAGGAGCCTCGCCAAGACCACCCCCTGCCCCCCCACCCCCAGCTCAAATCGTGAGTTGTGCTGTCCCCCTCTCTTAGCATCGCCCAGGTCCAAGGCACAGGGCCCGGGCGTTCAAGTATCGAACTCGCAGGGGGCCGGCGGGTGGCGGGAAGGAGAGCCCCACCCCGGGGCCAGACCTTCTCCCTTGGGTTTTCCGAGACCAAGGCCACTGCGCTGGCGGAGGGAGGAGGAGGAGGAGGAGGAGGAGGAGGAGGAGGAAGAGGAGGAGGTACAGGGTTCTTTTTGGTACCAGGGGAGAAAGACGTCGTGGGAAGAGGTAGTTTGCAGGGGTGATGCGTCTCAGCAGGAGAAAATGTCTTCTACAGTGATGGGGTCATCGCGGCGGGCACCGGGGGCCGGAGAGCCACACTTGGGGAGAGGCCCCCGTGGCCCCCAACTTCTCGTCTGTTGCTTAGTGTGAGCTGCAGCAGAGAAGGAGGGGCCCCTGCCTGCCTGACCCCCGAGGCTTCCCTGTGCTCCCCTCAGTCCTGATCGCAGCCACCCTGAGGCTGGGCTGGGCCCTCCACTAAGGGACAGTCTTGGACGGGGGACAAAGGGGTCCCCCACCCCCAGCTGTTCCCCCCACCTGGTTCCTGGGCTGAAGTTGGGGGCTTCACCTCCTTCTGTGCCTTCGGGGGCAGCCCTGCCCGCCCCTCCCCCCGTGGGCGGGGTCTGGGTGCCCTGGTTCCTGAATGTGCTATTTCCCTGCCCGGGGCCTGCAGCCTCCAGTTCCAGGGGCAGGAGCCAGCTGCTGACCGAGCTCTGGCCTCTGGTGGGTGATGCAGACAGAGCGAGTCACTGGCGAGGGGCTGGGTGGGGGTGGATGGAGGGCCTGCCCCCTGCCTCCTCCTGCCTCCCACCCGCCTCCTGAGCCTCCCTGTCGGCAGCTGGGCCCCCAGGGCCA